TTTTACAGCCTGTTTCCTGCACTCCTTAATTAACTGTAAAATCCATTATTGAGAGACACAAAGCAAATCTCGTCCCTACATCACCACTCGTGGCCCCAGGGGGTGAGTGACCGGGGCTAGAAATTGATCCTGTTCTCTACGTGGCAGAACTCTGCCACGAGACCAACAGGATGGGCCATCTCCTGCTTTCATACCAGTGCTCAGGAGAAAGGAAACAAATGAATCGGAACACCACGAGTCTCCGTTTTAAAACTGGCAGAAGCAAAAAAGACTCCAGGAGACTTGTTTGTTGTTCTTTTTGCCCTTATACTTCCGTGACTCCCTTTTCCCTACTAGGCCTTTGAAAAAGGATATTTCTCTGACTTATATCCTCACTGTCCTTGCAGGGTGTCTGACTCTTGACACAGAGACTCGGGCACTTTTAGGAGCTGTGTGTTCGGTATGAGAGCGCGCTGAGAACTTGACAGAAAGGGATTCCTTTTGTCTGCTTCCAGGGGCTCCTACACCATCATCCCCATCCAAGTAGCAGAATGAGGATTTGTACTTCAGTCCATGAGAAGGAGCATCTGGGACTTTGAAGGAGTTCTCCAGTCCTGGAAATCTCTAGCAAATCCAGTATTTATCTTGTCCTGAAAAGGAGTACTTTCCTGACTAGGGCCTAAATCAGATGAAATCTCAATGTGAAGATTTTCTTTCGGCAACAGTGATTTGTTTATGGCAATCTAGTGCAGCTGATGTCCATCCCTATCTGTCTCGACCTCGGTGCGCCTCTCTCTGCACGTTTGGAAAGATAACTGGGTTATCTGCAGGCCGTACATTGAATAAGTTGAACAAAATATTTTTTTAGGTTTCACCTGCTATGACTAATACACTTAGTTTCAATTCAGAGTTTATAGCATTTGTCACGAACAATTCGTTCAGCAATAGACCTTCTTTTTTAAAAGATACTAAAAAGTCTGTCCAAAAAGTTGCAACTCTTGTACTTTAAATGACAAAAATTCTACCCCTCTCCTTGAGTACTCTGCAGTTGCGCTTACAGTAGCCATCAGAACTACCGTGTAATGGAAATGTATCTCCCCAGTAATTTAACGTGATCAATGAAAGCTTTTGTAAATCAAAGTGTTTTATTCTCAGAGAATCGCTTAAAATGCTGCTGAACTGTATGGTGAAATACATCCCCTGCTATAGCGGGGTTTTCTTCATTTTTGTATTGATTTTTAGGAGCTTTAGAGTTAAACCATGCCAGAAGTGTTGCCGAGATGAATCACTATTATCCAAAGGCCACCAGCCTCTCTGCCGACTGACAGAAGGATAATTCCGCATGGATCAAATAAATACAGATGTGTAGTAATTAGTTCTATTCCCAGTGAGCCCATTTCCAACACACTAAAGATGTGCACGATTATGGAGCCTCACCCCAACAGCTTTTATCAATTTAAACTGCTAAGCTACAGGATAGGTCATAACCCAGCCTGCTATTAATAATGTATTTATTGTGTGCAACATTATAAATTAGGTTCATGGAACAGAACACCTTTTAACAAGAATAATGTTATCTTTCTACAGAAGCATCGCATGTGCTTAGCCACTCAGCTGAAGTACAGTCCCAAGACAATCGAAGGAATAAAATTTCTTATCCAGAATAGAGATGCCTACATTATTGGAGGGGTTCCCCACCAAGATGATTTAGCAGTGGCCGACATGCTAAATGTGCCTATATTAGGCTCCGCGCCAGAAGTGGCTCACCTCTACGGTACTAAGTCTGGAAGTAAACGAATTTTTGCCAGGGCTTGTGTGCCAACCCCTCCTGGAGAGTCCGACATCGTCAGCAGCGAGCAGGTAAGGAGGACGTGGCCTTAGGTGTGCCAACATGCAGATGCCTGTTCTCACTTGATAGGATGCAAATTTTCTATGATTGCAACAACTCTGTTGGTTAGACTCGCCCTTGGTTTAAAGGTTAAATCACATATGAGGTTGGGTTCTGTTAGGGCTCTGACCGCTTAAATGCAACTTGTATCCTAGTCATGATGTAACACAGGTGTTCTGGTGTTCTTCGTGGTCTTCCTTGAGGTAAAGATAAGGTATATATAAAGTATGTTGAACAGTTCGTGTTGCTGCTTCATGGATGAAGTCAAGGCCTCAATGAGATTAACAGGAGTTTCACCAGTGACTGAAAATAGAGCAGAGATTTCTGGGAAACGAAGCATTTGATGAAAGAAAAATTTCTTCTGCTTAGGAAATCAGCGTGTTCAAACTGAGGTTCACTGAGTTTTACCTTGTACCTGGCTCGTCATTGCTAAACTCACCTATCTTGTCAGTGTGACCAGTAAGAAAAGAACACAATATTTACACGTTTATTTGACATTTGGTGTCTCAGTATTTCATTCTATAAGCTTATTTTGCAATCTGCAATGACATCTCTAAGTATGATCCACATAGATTTCTCGAAATAGTATTTTTATGGTGATGCTGCTTCTCATACAGGAAAATAATCGGTGCCATGGATTGTAGATATTAGTACTTTTTAGAGAGGCTTTTCACATTGCTTTGCATTAATCACCTTTAAGACTGGAAACAATCTAAGCTGCACAAATATGTTGCAACCTCTATGGCAGATGAAATAAATATACGATCAATGATGTGAAAAACAACTGTTTGATTTATTGCTAAATAATTTATATGAATCTAATACTTTTGATTCATACTACTGTGTTATGGAAGTCTTCCTTGTGTTTGCTTGTACGAAATATTGACATTTTAGGTTAAATAATCAAAGCCAGGTGACACTATGTGAAAGCACAACTCAATTTTCACCTGAAGATAGCACATAATTCTTTATGATTGGTGCAGTCCTTACGATATTATTGATCCTTTTCATTACTGTAGGGGAGTCATCAAGAAAAAGACATTTATGTGATTCTCAAAAGCCACAAATAATAGCATCTGGAACACACATGCGATTGTATTTTTGGTCAGTGTTAAAGAAAATAAACAAAGCTCCCCAAAATTACTGTGTAAAAATGTAGGAGGCTCTAGCCAATGCAACAAGATCTGATAATACTTTTACCAGGTTCAAAGGCATTTGCAGTTTCTAAGAAGCTAATTGCATCCTACACCAGCTGGGCAAAAGGCATTTTAAAGCCATTTAAATCTGTGAACATACACAAATAAATAATTAGCATTTTTATAAAGCCTGCCTGGTAACTCCTTCGTACGTTTATAACCATATAATGTACTCTCCAGTAGGAAAATTTCACAGATGTTTGGCTGGTGCTAGAATCGGGCACTATCGTGTCTCAGATTTTGCAGACAGTGTAGTCCACCCCATGTTGTTGAGCTGTACTGATTATCCAAGCTCAAAGATCCTAACTGGACAAAAAAGCCTGGGCAGGCAAATTCCTCTCTGCAGAATACAGCTCCATCGACCACTGAAGGTGTCCTGTCGGGAGTCTGTCCAAGTGGGCTCAAGTACGAGATGAAAACCATAGATTCTTCATCAAAAAACAGTCAGAGTTGCTTTTGCTACGTATCCGAGATAACCGTAACAGCACAAGCATCTCTAAGAAACACAAACCATTGTTAGAAAACAAAGTTCGAGTCCAAATATCTGAGAACGGGAAGCCTGAATTGAAGAACGGTTTAACACTGCCGTAACCCAACTGATCTTCGTGTCGTTGCTCCACAGCTGTTGAGCGTTCTCAGCCGGCTCATCGTTGACAACCTGGAGGTGCGGTGTTGGTTGTTCAAAGCCAATGATGAATCTGGAGGAGACGGCACCGCCTGTTGCGACGTCGCCTCGCATTTGGAATGCTACAGCTGGGTTCAGAAGGAACGTCAGCGATACGGTCCCGAGGTCTGGAGGAAGAAGTGGGCGCATGTAAGTACCGAAGGAGCGGGGGGTCTTCTTTGTTGTTGCAGCTTCATAATCACTCACCGGGCTTCTTCCTCACAGTAAATCTTTTTTCTGAGCTTACATTTAAGAGAGGTTGGTAGGAGTTGATATTACAGGGTCCAGACTAGCTCGTACAAAGCAGTAGGTAACAATTATTCAAATAAGGCAGTTAAATATTCCAAAATATAAACGAATGTGTGGCACCCGACTGTGCAGTAAGTTGGTTGTCACAACACTTCATTCGTTTGCAATAATGTTCAAATTTCACACAATGTTTTTTATCCAAAGTGAGGGCGTGTACAAATGAAAGTAAAATGACAGCAGAGCCTTATATCTACAGAGAAACTTGGAATTACTGGAACAAAGCATTGGACTAATGCTAATTGGACTAATACTAACCCATTTGAAACCACATGCAAACTGATTATTTTGTAATCCGGTTTTCTAAGGATTATTTTTTCTGTACATTTTTCCACACTCATAATTTCTAAGCCTGTTAGCTATCTTCAGCCTCACGAGGCACAACACTTGAGGTCTCAGGGATCATTTGACTCCTGCTTGTTTCTTTGCAGCGGGTGTTTAGGTAAGGGCAGAGATCTTAGAAATACTTAACCGAGGGAAACAGTATAGCATGAGCTCACGCACTAGTAGATTCCTAAGAATCCACAGGACTGAGAGAGACTGTAAGATGATACATTTCAACTGCAGAAAAATCCATGTGAAAGTAGACTTCACTAGTCCTGGCATCAGAGAACTGTCTGTAGTTTAAATATTCATTGGTATTTAAATTTGTTAATTTCAATAAGCATTTGATATTTCTGTATATTGTGCCAAATTCATTCCTAATGTAATGGTTTTAAAGCCAGAAGGAATGTATCCAGAAAGAATTGTTTAATTTACATAAACTACTCATTACAGCTCTTCCAATTTTTTTTTAATTCAATCAAAACTGTTCTGAAATTTTTGTTTGATTGAATTATATTGTATATTAAAATTTCAAATTGTGCTGATTACCGGTCTGTTGTGTTCGACAACTACGAAATAATTCTGCATTATAGAACAGAGCTTACCGTACAAAGCTGAAGGGCTCATTTCTCTGATCTGCTAAAGGACCCTCGCTCTGCGCAAGTCCAGCAGCACGGAGGGCTGGAGAGCCCCTCCAGTGAAAGTGTTGTCGGACACAGGGCTGATCATGCCCCTGTACTCGGCACTCGTGAGACCGCACCTCGAGTACTGTGTCCAGTTTTGGTCACCACAGTACAAGAAGAACATGGAGGTGCTGGAGCGGGTGCAGAGAAGGGCAACAAGGCTTGTGAGAGGTCTGGAAAACAGGCCCTATGAAGAGCGGCTGAGGGAACTGGGTTTGTTTAGTCTGGAGAAGAGGAGGCTGAGAGGAGACCTTATTGCCCTCTACAACTACCTAAAAGGAGGCTGTAGCGAGGCTGGTGCTGGTCTCTTCTCTCTAATTACTAATGACAGGACAAGGGGAAATGGCCTCAAGTTGCGTCAGGGTAAGTTTAGGTTGGATATTCGGAGGAAGTTCTTTCCTGAACGAGTGGTGAGGCACTGGAACGGGCTGCCCAGGGAGGGGGTGGGGGCACCAACATGTTCAAAACCCACGTGGACACGTTCCTGTGTGACCCACTCTCGGTGATCCAGCTCTGGCAGGAGGTTTGGACTGGATGATCTTCAGAGGCCCCTTCCAACCCCTGACATTCTGTGACATCCCCAGATCCAGCTCCCACCATCCGAGCCAGTGGGGCAGAGCACATGATTCACCAAGTCTGGTTCTTTTCCTGTATAAATTCCCTGTATAAGCGATATTACCCAGTATTAGCCTTCCTGTTTCTGTGCCTTTCTAGTTTCTTTGTTGGCAAGTGACTCTGAAAGGACATAGCGTTAACTGGCTGCGTTTGGTTTCTCTTTGATACTGCATGTTGGAACGAGTTCAGAGGAGGCCACAAAGATGATCCAGGGGCTGGAGCATCTCTGCGCCGGGGACAGGCTTTGGGAGGCGGG